CCGAAAAAAAAATTTTCTTATAGAATGTGGCCTGTAGAATCCATAATTTCAAACAGTTCCAAGATTGGGCTACTAGTTCAAAAATTACAGCCCTTTGAATTTTCTTTCGAAATTGGTTTCTAGTCCATAACTTTTGATTGAGAAGTCCGATCGAAAAAGTACGAATTGTTTTGGATTCTACGCACCAAAATTAATAAGAAAAGCTGTTTTCCCGAGAAATTTTGGTGTAGTCGATTTTTGGTAAAAAAGGAAGGTTGTACACTGCCTTTTTTTTGGCTCGAAAAAAAAAATTGTCTTAGATCGACCCGAAAAAAAAATTTTCTTATAGACTGTGGCCTGTAGAATCCATAATTCCAAACAGTTCCAAGATTGGGCTACTAGTTCAAAAGTTACAGCCCTTTGAATTTTCTTTCGAAATTGGTTTCTAGTCCATAACTTTTGATTGAGATGTCCGATCGAAACAGTACGAATTGTTTTGGATTCTACGCACCAAAATTAAGAAGAAAAAGTGTTTTTCCGAGAAATTTTGGTGTAGTCGATTTTTGGTAAAAAAGGAAGGTGTCTGCCTTTTTTTTGGCTCGAACAAAAAATTGTCTCAGATCGACCCGAAAAAAAATTTTTCTTATAGACTGTGGCCTGTAGAATCCATAATTTCAAACAGTTCCTAGATTGGGCTACTAGTTCAAAAGTTACAGCCCTTTTCGAAATTGGTTTCTAGTCCATAACTTTTGATTGAGAAGTCCGATCGAAAAAGTACGAATTGTTTTGGATTCTACGCACCAAAATTAATAAGAAAAGCTGTTTTCCCGAGAAATTTTGGTGTAGTCGATTTTTGGTTAAAAAAACAGGTATTATTTATTATTTATGGAACTTTACACCTATAGTCACCGAATCAAGAAGAACACCTTATTTTTCAAAACGAAAAAATTAATTTAAGTAAGACGACGGTGTCATCGTTGCGTTAATTCATTAAAAGAATAGGTAGGGATTAGTCCGGAATAGTTGTAGAGATACTCGTTTTCAGGCTACCAATACGACCAGTTGTGGTCCAAACGAAAATTTTCTGTGCCTTCGCCTTTGGGTTACAGAACTTTAATCGTACCCCAAATATTTTTTCGTGTTTTGAATGAAGAAGAGTAACAATTACGATAGTCGCGATAAATTTTGTTCCGAGATTACCGGTTGCTATTTTTTTCGGGCATCATAGAAATCAAATTTTATTTTGGCAATTGGTTTAAAACGTTAATTCCACGCGAGTTTTCCGAAAAACTTACAATGAAAAAGGGCCAAACAATCGGAAGCAGAAGACATTCCTCCAGTCAAATTCTAGCGGAACGGAAAGTAATTAAACGTGCTTTCTTTGAAGTATAATAATAACTCTTTAACTGTGCATCTTTTCCATAGTCGCCGTCGTATCCCATAGTCCAGTCGAATTAGCTTTAAAAATAGTATAAACTGGATGTTGTAATTTCACTCAACGAAACCAAGCGTATCCTATGTAAAAAAAATCCGCTGAATTCGAAAATCATAGTCGCCCTGGCCGGAAACCGCCGGAACATATTGTTATTAACAGAAAACGAAGACAAAATGAGAAAATGTCATGTTTTTTCGCATTTCACTTCGAATATCTCGTGAACTATTGCTCTGAGAGAAATAATGAACAGAAATGTTAGAATAAAATTTTCTATAAGATACATTTGGTCCGGAACGCTCATTTTTAATTGTTATTGTTTTTTATGGAAAAATGTGAAAAATTAATCTCTAAAATTAACAGTTTGTTATTACCAAGTAAAATTCATCCCATCTTTTTGAAAATCCGTATTTAGTACCTTCTTTTGATAACAAAACAACATGACCCGATCACCGTAGGTTTCATAGTAATTGATTAATTAAATAAACAAGTAAAAAAAGGGATGCCTTGTCTTTCAAACTGGGGGAGTACAAGAGCGTTCCCAATTTTTTTATGCATAGTTTAACCCTTTTCCTAAAATTGTCCCAATGATTCTTGCAAAATTGCGAAAACCCTAAAATATGTTTAGACGATGGCTAAATTTTGTTTATATCCGCATTGTATGTTGTCTATTTCATTGTAAATAAATTACATGTTATAAGATGAGGAACATCTCGAAATTATTTGCGTAACATTGGAGTAATTTATCTCGTTTTTTCTCCGGTCGTAGATAAGAGTTAAAAATTAATTAATTTTGTAAACGAATGTCACAGGCGCGCGCTTCAGATAAGAGAATTTTTCGTATAACTAATAAAGAATGGAAGTGGGAATCGAAGATGAGAAAAGAGAAGAAAATGTGTTAAATAGAAGAGGAAGTATTGTAACGTGGCCTTTTACCTTGGGCCGTGCGTGTGAACTCGGGGCCGTTGGCCATTAGGTGGAGTCGAGTCCATCCATTGGAGCGGATTAGATGAATTCAGTACGATTAGATATTTGGTTTATTGACTGCACACAGTACTATTTTATAATCCATTTTTTCGATTAATTTTAAATATAATGTATATGCATTGGTTACCGAGAAAATAGCAAGAAACTGCCACGGTAGCAATCTTGAAAAAAAAAAACCTATGTATTTTTGTTCATTTGGCTCCTACATGAAAACGTAGAATATCCGGCTAGGAAAAATATGGAGAATATAAGTTTCAAGGGTTAAAAAGTCCATGATGTCAACGCTGAAATTTAAACGTCACAGACTGGGGTATAGCTGGAACATTAGAACAAAAAATGGAAGCTAAAGTGGGGAAGGACCAAAAACGGTAGGTACCAGGCAGTGCTGCCAGTTGTAGTCGTGCAATCACCATGTTCAACAAATCTCTTTAGAAGATAACCGTCACGAGTCCC